TGAGTGGGGAGCAGACGCCGGCACAGGCACCAAGACAGAGGCTGACACGGAGAGAGGGTTTGAATCAGAGATGAGAGTAGGCACCGAGGGCGGAGCTGGAGCTAGAGGAGGAGATGCAGCCGAAGCCGATGTGGCAACCTGGACTGGAACGAGTCCTGAGTGGGGCACTGGGGCTGGGACAGAAAGGGGAACTGGGAATGGATCGGGAACCGATGGGGTCACAGAGGCCGACCCAGGGGCAGGAGGGCAGATAGGTCTCGGCAGCTGACTGAAGTTCGTGGTAACTAGAGGCAGGGTTCCCTCCACAGGAACTCCAGTTCCCAGAGTTGCCAAAATGAAAGTGTTCTTCTCCCCAACACTGTGCCGAGAGTCCAAAGCCTTTACCCCGGCTGGCGAGCAGTCAATCTGTTTGCTCATTTGGGTGCTTAGGGGAGTCCAGGAGCAATTGGCCCTGCTATGGCTGGCCTCAGTGCTATCAGGAGTGGACAGCTTAAGTCCGTCTCCTGGGCTGCTCAGTGGCACCAGGAGGTCCTCAGCCTCTCCTGCATTCCCAACATAGTCCATTTTTGGCTGAGGATCATCAGGCTGATCTTCTGACCTGTGCCCAAGTTTTTCTGTTGTACTGCCATCTGGGTTTGCCCCCCGGGCATTGCTGCCGCTTCCAACTGCTGTGAGCTCCACCTGCAATGAAAGAACAGTATGCCCATCTTAGCAAGCTCCCCAGCTGGTCCAAGTATCCCGAGGCCTCTGAGAAGTAACTGCTGTTTCTTTCTGCAACTCAACCAACTACAAAGGACAGGGCACGTATGTACCAAGTTCTATCTCATCTAGAACAACTTCTGTCTTCTTGCTCCCATTCTCAGAATGGCCAAAGCAGCCACATGGATGGCCCCAGAAAACTCACCCTTTGATGGGCAGCATGTGACACCACACAACTCCTTACCTTGGAAAAACTGCTGCTGACACAAAACTCCTGAGATCCAAAGTGCTGGCAGTCACCTGTCGTGGACTCCTCATCAGAAAGAGGTGCTCTTCTGGCAGGAAAGACACAACCAGAAAAGGGACATAAGGCTCAGACTTAGGCCACTGACATTTTCTCTAGAAGGTTCTGCCTGCCTGGCTTCCCACAAAACCCTCATGTCTCATTCCCATGGTGGCGGCAGGGGATAGCAGAGTATTAGGAGGCTCAAGGATGCCAAGCAGAGCCTCTGCACGCAACTTTGCAAGTTCTTGAATAGGACCCTTGTCTGAGCAGAATTTGGGGGTTACTTATTCTGCTTTCTAGTGTTCTCACAAAAAGTATGGATGACCCCACTTAGCACCTTTTCCTTTTCCCTGGAGCTTCCCGTTCAAGGTGAGCATTCAATCTAGTATATACAGGGCATCACTCAAACAGAGATAGATGTGGCCTGTAAGCCTCAAAGGCATGAAATTAGTTTTATTTTAAACCCCATTCAGGTCTAAATGGGAAGTGCCATAGTAGGGTAAATCTCCTCCAAAACAAATCACCATTCCCATTAAGTTTAAGTCAAGTCCAAATCTAAATCACCTGTTCGTCTGATGGGTGGGGCATGCCTGTAGTCCATACAGCTTCACATTTACCAACACATACAGCAACACTGATTTGAGGCTATCCGGTCACTGACACTAAGAGGCTCTTCAAAAATACTACATTTAGCCAAGCATTTGCCATGTGTTGGTAATTTGAATACTTAGGAAGTGGAGACCGGAAGATAAGGAATTCAAAGCTAGTTGGGCTACAGGAGACCCTGTCTCAAACATCAACAACAACAACAAAATGGAATGGATGTGGTGATGCACATCTTTTTAAATCCTGGTACTCAGGAGGCAGAGGCAGATGAATCTCTCTTAGTTCAAGGCCTGACTAGACTTTGGTCTACACAGGAATTTCAAGCCAGCAAGGATACATAGACCCAATCTTAATTAAAAAACAGCAAATCAAAATAATTCAACAACAACAACAAAAAATCAAACACTTCTTTCTCTCCAAAGGAACAGTTCTGGAACTCTACCTGGCTCCAGCTGGCACCTCCCCTTCTCCTAATACACAGGGAGGACCTCCCCTTCTCCTAATACACAGGGAGCACCTTCCCTTCAGCCTCTCTGTACCACCATATTCTCCCCTCAAAAGGGAGTTCCTCAAAGCCACAGACTCCACGTTCACATTGGTATGTGCCATAAGTAAAGGTTTAAGGCCAGGAAGCTGGGTCTCAAACAAGAAAAATGCAACTGTATCCTCCACTTGCTCAAAAAGAATTCTCTAAATTCAGGTAAGACTCTTATAAAAATGTTACATCTGACAAACAAATAAACAAAAGGATCAGACTGCTAAAGTTACAGGACAAACACCCACTCAAAGGTCAGTGCTGTAGTGCAGCAGGAACACACTGCCCCTGTACTGGGGAGCATATCAATAGGGCAGCCGCCTGGATGGCAGTGGCTGCAGGGGAGGGGGGGGGTCAAAGAACAAAGA